ATAGTGGTAGAAAGGGTCAGAAAATAGGCACCTTGTGTATTTCTGATTCATGTTTGATTGACAATGATCAATAATCTTCATGGGTTTTACATAAACATTCCATAAGAAAATTAATACTTCAAAGTTTGAACGTTTTTTAAATTCAAGTGAATAGCCTTTAATGCCTAACAATGTGCAAATGATTAGGAAATAATGTTCAATGTCTATATCAACAATAATGTTCTTGGTCATGATGATATAGAATCACAAAAGCCCTGCAGGCTAAGATAACCAATATTGACTGAGGGTTGTGCAAATTGGAACTTGTCTGAATTTGAGTCTGCATGGTGATACAAGAAAGTTAATTTCATGATAAATGTAGCATGTGTTGATCTGTAATATTCAACTTGTCAGTGATGTTCATTCCAAATATAACTCAAGGGTGTCTATTATCATGGTTACCTCATTTTCTATCGCAGGTTTTATTTAGAAACAAATTTCCACACTTAAGTGTTTGTTTCATAGTTGCCATTTACTTTTACTGTAATTTTTGAGGATATTGAGACAAAAACAGGCATGTGTGAGTGAGTGAATGTTATGCATCAGAGTCAGCAGCCTGAATACAATCCAACCTTAGGTACACAAAAACGATGGTTGATATTTTGAGCAACAACATACATGATCAGGGAATGATGACACCTGATCCTCATAATAATCTCTTACACCCAGCATCAGGTGCTTGAGACCTAGTCATCTCTTACACCCAGCATGGGGTGCTGGGGACCTAGTCCTCTCTTACACCCAGCGTGGGGTGCTGGGGACCTAGTCATCTCTTACACCTAGCATCAGGTGCTTGGGACCTAGTCATCTCTTACACCCAGCATGGGGTGCTTGAGACCTAGTCCTCTCTTACACCCAGCATCAGGTGCTTGAGACCTAGTCATCTCTTACACCCAGCATCAGGTGCTGGGGACCTAGTCATCTCTTACACCCAGCATCAGGTGCTGGGGACCTAGTCATCTCTTACACCCAGCACGGGGTGCTGGGGACCTAGTCATCTCTTACACCCAGCATCAGGTGCTGGGGACCTAGTCATCTCTTACACCCAGCATGGGGTGCTGGGGACCTAGTCATCTCTTACACCCAGCATGAGGTGCTGGGGACCTAGTCATCTCTTACACCTAGCATGGAGTGCTGTGGACCTAGTCATCTTTTACACCCAGCATCAGGTGCTTGGGACCTAGTCATCTCTTACACCCAGCATCAGGTGCTGGGGACCTAGTCATCTCTTACACCCAGCATCAGGTGCTTGGGACCTAGTCACCTCTTACACCTAGCATCAGGTGCTTGGGACCTAGTCATCTCTTACACCCAGCATGGGGTGCTTGAGACCTAGTCTTCTCTTACACCCAGCATCAGGTGCTGGGGACCTAGTCATCTCTTACACCCAGCATCAGGTGCTGGGGACATAGTCATCTCTTACACCCAGCATCAGGTGCTGGGGACATAGTCATCTTTTACACCCAGCATCAGGTGCTGGGGACCTAGTCATCTCTAACACCCAGCATGGGGTGCTGGGGACCTAGTCTTCTCTTACACCTAACATGGGGTGCTGAGGACCTTGTCATCTCTTACACCTAGCATCAGGTGCTGGGGACCTAGTAATCTCTTACACCCAGCATGGGGTGCTGGGGACCTAGTCATCTCTTACACCCAGCATGGGGTGCTGGGGACCTAGTCATCTCTTACACCCAGCGTCAGGTGCTGGGGACCTAGTCATCTCTTACACCCAGCATCAGGTGCTGGGGACCTAGTCATCTCTTACACCCAGCATGGGGTGCTGGGGACCTAGTCCTCTCTTACACCCAGCATGGGGTGCTGGGGACCTTGTCATCTCTTACACCCAGCATCAGGTGCTGGGGACCTAGTCATCTCTTACACCCAGCATCAGGTGCTGGGGACCTAGTAATCTCTTACACCCAGCATCAGGTGCTGGGGACCTAGTCATCTCTTACACCCAGCATCAGGTGCTGGGGACCAAGTCATCTCTTACACCCAGCATCAGGTGCTGGGGACCTAGTCATCTCTTACACCCAGCATGGGGTGCTGGGGACCTAGTCATCTCTTACACCCAGCATGAGGTGCTGGGGACCTAGTCATCTCTTACACCTAGCATGGAGTGCTGTGGACCTAGTCATCTTTTACACCCAGGATCAGGTGCTGGGGACATAGTCTTCTCTTACACCCAGCATGAGGTGCTGGGGACCTAGTCATCTCTTATACCTAGCATGGAGTGCTGTGAACCTAGTCATCTTTTACATCCAGAATCAGGTGCTGGGGACCTAGTCATCTCTTACACCTAGCATGGAGTGCTGTGGACCTAGTAATCTTTTACACCCAGAATCAGGTGCTGGGGACATAGTCTTCTCTTACACCTAGCATTGGGTGCTGGGGACCTAGTCTTCTCTTACACCCAGCATGAGGTGCTGGGGATCTAGTCATCTCTTACACCCAGCATCAGGTGCTGGGGACCTAGTCATCTCTTACACCCAGCATCAGGTGCTGGGGACCAAGTCATCTCTTACACCAGGATGGGGTGCTTGGGACCTAGTCATCTCTTACACCCAGCATGAGGTGCTGGGGACCTAGTCATCTCTTACACCTAGCATGGAGTGCTGTGGACCTAGTCATCTTTTACACCCAGAATCAGGTGCTGGGGACCTAGTCTTCTCTTACACCTAGCATTGGGTGCTGGGGACCTAGTCTTCTCTTACACCCAGCATCAGGTGCTTGGGACCTAGTCATCTCTTACACCATGCATCAGGTGCTGGGGACCTAGTCATCTCTTACACCCAGCATCAGGTGCTGGGGACCTAGTAATCTCTTATACCCAGCATGGGGTGCTGGGGACCTAGTCATCTCTTACACCCAGCATGAGGTGCTGGGGACCTAGTCATCTCTTACACCCAGCATCAGGTGCTGGGGACCTAGTCATCTCTTACACCCAGCATCAGGTGCTGGGGACCTAGTCATCTCTTACACCCAGCATCAGGTGCTGGGGACCTAGTCATCTCTTACACCCAGCATCAGGTGCTGGGGACCTAGTCATCTCTTACACCCAGCATCAGGTGCTGGGGACCTAGTCATCTCTTACACCCAGCATGGGGTGCTGGGGACCTAGTCATCTCTTACACCCAGCATCAGGTGCTGGGGACCTAGTCATCTCTTACACCCAGCATGGGGTGCTGGGGACATAGTCATCTCTTACACCCAGCATCAGGTGCTGGGGACCTAGTCATCTCTTACACCCAGCATCAGGTGCTTGGGACCTAGTCATCTCTTACACCCAGCATCAGGTGCTTGGGACCTAGTCATCTCTTACACCCAGCATCAGGTGCTGGGGACCTAGTCATCTCTTACACCCAGCATCAGGTGCTGGGGACCTAGTCATCTCTTACACCCAGCATGAGGTGCTGGGGACCTAGTCATCTCTTACACCCAGCATGAGGTGCTGGGGACCTAGTCATCTCTTACACCCAGCATGAGGTGCTGGGGACCTAGTCATCTCTTACACCCAGCATCAGGTGCTGGGGACCTAGTAATCTCTTACACCCAGCATCAGGTGCTGGGGACCTAGTCATCTCTTACACCCAGCATCGGGTGCTGGGGACCTAGTCATCTCTTACACCCAGCATGGGGTGCTGGGGACATAGTCATCTCTTACACCCAGCATCAGGTGCTGGGGACCTAGTCATCTCTTACACCCAGCATCAGGTGCTTGGGACCTAGTCATCTCTTACACCCAGCATCAGGTGCTTGGGACCTAGTCATCTCTTACACCAAGCATCAGGTGCTGGGGACCTAGTCATCTCTTACACCCAGCATCGGGTGCTGGGGACCTAGTCATCTCTTACACCCAGCATGGGGTGCTGGGGACCTAGTCATCTCTTACACCCAGCATGGGGTGCTGGGGACCTAGTCATCTCTTACACCCAGCATCAGGTGCTGGGGACCTAGTCATCTCTTACACCCAGCACGGGGTGCTGGGGACCTAGTCATCTCTTACACCCAGCATCAGGTGCTGGGGACCTAGTCATCTCTTACACCCAGCATGAGGTGCTGGGGACCTAGTCATCTCTTACACCCAGCATGGGGTGCTGGGGACCTAGTCTGCCCGGAATCTCCTAAGGAGTCAACTTTACTCAAGTCTTTTCAGAGTTTGTAAACCACATGTCCAATATATATTGAAAATGTGGCAGCCATGGTTGCGACCAACCAACATAAACATAGTAAGCTTACATGAAGTTTTAGTTCAGCTAAAAAGTAAAATTACTGGACAGCAGCCAACAGCCCTGACTGAGATAATCAAATGACATATTTGACTCAAAATTTACAAAAATGATTAGTTATCCTCTTTACATGGAAAATATACATAAAGTCACCACTGAACATAGCACAGCTCTCCACTGGCAGAAGAACTTGAACATTTACCAATATGCGCCAATACATTGTCAGAATTGGAACTCTTGCTCCACATGTTTAATCAAGACAAACAAGACTGATTTGGAGGTCCTATATTTCCCCAGCTCCTCACCACATGTCAAGAAGAAATAGTTAACAATTAGAGATAACAAAACAGACCCACACTTCAATATTCTACGACCAACTTGTTTCTTTAGAATTAATAAGTCAAACCTTAAAATCAGCAAAATGCAGCACTTCATCACCACTTCCAAAAAAATGCCCCAAGTAATCATGACCCACTTACTTATTTTTAACAAACCAAAACCTGACAAACATGAGACAAACTTTGAAGTCCTTCAAACTTGTATGCAATTAGTGAGTGAGTATGGTTTTACACCACTCCATACAATGTACCCATGTCGGGAATTGAACCCATCATGACGAGCGAACGCTTTAACCTCAAGGCTACCTGACCGCCCCTTGTATGCAATAAACCTAATCATCATGGTCATGATTCCAACATCTTGATGTGATAAATATTCCAGGTACAAACTTACCTTTTTACCCAGACTGGTTCGTTAGTGCTGTCCTCCTGTTGATATGATGACTGCAGAGCCACACCCTTACTGCGCTGGATGGCTGACTTGATGTCTGCAATCGCCATGTCTAGGGCCTCGCGCTTGGCCTTCAGGTCATTCATAATAGCCTGAGCATCCATCTCCTTATTTCGACTCTCAGAATGGTCCTTCAAAGAAAAGGACAAAATCTTCAATAGATTCAAAAAGCTGTTTTTACTATACTGATTGAATGATTGTCAACATAAAAGATGTGAAAGGTCTCATTGGACTCAACGTAAATAAAGTTTCCCCACAAATATCAATATCAGACCCAACTTTGTCTAGTATTAATCACTTTCACTTCCATTAGGATCTGGAAACTAATGTAAACTTGTGGTTCTTGGTTGAAACTACAAAGATTCTTGTGGCATAATTTTGATTCTACCTAAGAAATTAAATTTTGACCTGAAAAAGACGAGGTTTGATTATGATCCATTTCATCACTTGCAAAAATATCTTTCCAAGTTTGCAACTTGAGTGGATCACATCACTTAAGGTATTACTCCTGCATATGTAATGACCACACACAACTTGGAAACAGGCTTCTGTAGCACTTCTGTCCAACCTTCATCACTCTAAATTGGTAGGTTTAATGTGTTCTAAACAGCCTCGGCCTGCACAGTAGAGTGTAGTTTACTGATTGTTCTATTATAGCCTCGGCCTGCACAGTAGAGTGTAGTTTACTGATTGTTCTATTACTGCCCCGGCCTGCACAGTAGAGTGTAGTTTATTGATTGTTCTATTATAGCCTCGGCCTGCACCGTAGAGTGTAGTTTACTGATTGTTCTATTACTGCCCCGGCCTGCACAGCAGAGTGTAGTTTACTGATTGTTCTATTACAGCCTCGGCCTGCACAGTAGAGTGTAGTTTACTGATTGTTATAATACAGCCCTGGCCTGCACAGTAGAGTGTAGTTTACTGATTGTTCTATTACAGCCTCAGCCTGCACAGTAGAGTGTAGTTTACTGATTGTTCTATTACAGCGTCGGCCTACATAGTTGAGTGTAATTTACTGATTGTTCTAATACAGCCCTGGCCTGCACAGTAGAGTGTAGTTTACTGATTGTTCTATTACAGCCCCGGCCTGCACAGTAGAGCGTAGTTTACTGATTGTTCTATTACTGCCCCGGCCTGCACAGTAGAGTGTAGTTTACTGATTGTTCTATTACAGCCTCAGCCTGCACAGTAGAGTAAAGTTTACTGATTGTTCTATTACAGCCCCGGCCTGCACAGTAGAGTGTAGTTTACTGATTGTTCTATTACTGCCCCGGCCTGCACAGTAGGGTGTAGTTTACTGATTGTTCTATTACAGCCTCAGCCTGCACAGTAGAGTGTAGTTTACTGATTGTTCTATTACAGCGTCGGCCTACATAGTTGAGTGTAATTTACTGATTGTTCTAATACAGCCCTGGCCTGCACAGTAGAGTGTAGTTTACTGATTGTTCTATTACAGCCCCGGCCTGCACAGTAGAGCGTAGTTTACTGATTGTTCTATTACTGCCCCGGCCTGCACAGTAGAGTGTAGTTTACTGATTGTTCTATTACAGCCTCAGCCTGCACAGTAGAGTGTAGTTTACTGATTGTTCTATTACAGCCCCGGCCTGCACAGTAGAGTGTAGTTTACTGATTGTTCTATTACTGCCCCGGCCTGCACAGTAGGGTGTAGTTTACTGATTGTTCTATTACAGCCCTGGCCTGCACAGTAGAGTGTAGTTTACTGATTGTTCTATTACTGCCCCGGCCTGCACAGCAGAGTGTAGTTTACTGATTGTTCTAATACAGCCCCTGCCTGCACAGTAGAGTGTAGTTTACTGATTGTTCTATTACAGCCTCAGCCTGCACAGTAGAGTGTAGTTTACTGATTGTTCTAATACAGCCCCGGCCTGCACAGTAGAGTGTAGTTTACTGATTGTTCTATTACAGCCCTGGCCTGCACAGTAGAGTGTAGTTTACTGATTGTTCTAATACAGCCCCGGCCTGCACAGTAGAGTGTAGTTTACTGATTGTTCTAATACAGCCCTGGCCTGCACAGTAGAGAGTAGTTTACTGATTGTTCTAATACAGCCCTGGCCTGCACAGTAGAGAGTAGTTTACTGATTGTTCTAATACAGCCCTGGTCTGCACAGTAGAGTGTAGTTTACTGATTGTTCTAATACAGCCCTGGCCTGCACAGTAGAGAGTAGTTTACTGATTGTTCTAATACAGCCCTGGCCTGCACAGTAGAGTGTAGTTTACTGATTGTTCTATTACAGCCCTGGCCTGCACAGTAGAGAGTAGTTTACTGATTGTTCTAATACAGCCCTGGCCTGCACAGTAGAGTGTAGTTTACTGATTGTTCTGATACAGCCCTGGCCTGCACAGTAGAGAGTAGTTTATTGATTGTTCTAATACAGCCCTGGGCTGCACAGTAGAGTGTAGTTTACTGATTGTTCTATTACTGTCCCGGCCTGCACAGCAGAGTGTAGTTTACTGATTGTTCTATTACAGCGTCGGCCTACATAGTTGAGTGTAGTTTACTGATTGTTCTAATACAGCCTTGGCCTGCACAGTAGAGTGGAGTTTACTGATTGTTCTATTACAGCCCCGGCCTGCACAGTAGAGCGTAGTTTACTGATTGTTCTAATACAGCCCTGGCCTGCACAGTAGAGTGTAGTTTACTGATTGTTCTATTACAGCCCTGGCCTGCACAGTAGAGTGTAGTTTACTGTTTGTTCTATTACAGCCTCAGCCTGCACAGTAGAGTGTAGTTTAATGATTGTTCTATTACTGCCCCGGCCTGCACAGTAGAGTGTAGTTTACTGATTGTTCTATTACAGCCTCGGCCTGCACAGTAGAGTGTAGTTTACTGATTGTTCTATTACAGCATCGGCCTACATAGTTGAGTGTAGTTTACTGATTGTTCTATTACAGCCCTGGCCTGCACAGTAGAGTGTAGTTTACTGATTGTTCTATTACTGCCCCGGCCTGCACAGTAGAGCGTAGTTTACTGATTGTTCTAATACAGCCTCGGCCTGCACAGTAGAGAGTAGTTTACTGATTGTTCTATTACAGCCTCGGCCTGCACAGTAGAGAGTAGTTTACTGATTGTTCTAATACAGCCCTGGCCTGCACAGTAGAGTGTAGTTTACTGATTGTTCTATTACAGCCCTGGCCTGCACAGTAGAGTGTAGTTTACTGATTGTTCTATTACTGCCCCGGCCTACACAGCAGAGTGTAGTTTACTGATTGTTCTATTACAGCGTCGGCCTACATAGTTGAGTGTAGTTTAATGATTGTTCTAATACAGCCCTGGCCTGCACAGTAGAGTGTAGTTTACTGATTGTTCTATTACTGCCCTGGCCTGCACAGTAGAGTGTAGTTTACTGATTGTTCTATTACAGCCCTGGCCTGCACAGTAGAGAGTAGTTTACTGATTGTTCTAATACAGCCCTGGCCTGCACAGTAGAGTGTAGTTTACTGATTGTTCTAATACAGCCCTGGCCTGCACAGTAGAGAGTTTTTTACTGATTGTTCTAATACAGCCCTGGCCTGCACAGTAGAGAGTAGTTTACTGATTGTTCTATTACAGCCCTGGCCTGCACAGTAGAGAGTAGTTTACTGATTGTTCTATTACAGCCCTGGCCTGCACAGTAAAGAGTAGTTTACTGATTGTTCTATTACAGCCCTGGCCTGCACAGTAGAGTGTAGTTTACTGATTGTTCTTATACAGTCTCGGCCTGCACAGTAGAGTGTAGTTTACTGATTGTTCTATTACAGCCTCGGCCTGCACAGTAGAGTGTAGTTTACTGATTGTTCTAATACAGCCACGGCCTGCACAGTAGAGTGTAGTTTACTGATTGTTCTACGACAGCCCCGGCCTGCACAGTAGAGTGTAGTTTACTGATTGTTCTACGACAGCCCCGGCCTGCACAGTAGAGTGTAGTTTACTGATTGTTCTAATACAGCCACGGCCTGCACAGTAGAGTGTAGTTTACTGATTGTTCTAATACAGCCACGGCCTGCACAGTAGAGTGTAGTTTACTGATTGTTCTACGACAGCCCCGGCCTGCACAGTAGAGTGTAGTTTATTGATTGTTCTATTACAGCCTCGGCCTGCACAGTAGAGTGTAGTTTACTGATTGTTCTATTACAGCCTCGGCCTGCACAGTAGAGTGTAGTTTACTGATTGTTCTACGACAGCCCCGGCCTGCACAGTAGAGTGTAGTTTACTGTTGTTCTACGACAGCCTCAGCCTGCACAGTAGAGTGTAGTTTACTGATTGTTCTATTACAGCCTCGGCCTGCACAGTAGAGTGTAGTTTACTGATTGTTCTAATACAGCCTCGGCCTGCACAGTAGAGTGTAGTTTACTGATTGTTATAATACAGCCCCGGCCTGCACAGTAGAGTGTAGTTTACTGATTGTTCTATTACAGCCTCGGCCTGCACAGTAGAGTGTAGTTTACTGATTGTTCTATTACAGCCTAGGCCTGCACAGTAGAGTGTAGTTTACTGATTGTTATAATACAGCCCTGGCCTGCACAGTAGAGTGTAGTTTACTGATTGTTATAATACAGCCCCGGCCTACACGGTAGAGCGTAGTTTACTGATTGTTCTATACCAGCCCCGGCCTGCACAGTAGAGTGTAGTTTACTGATTGTTCTATTACTGCCCCGGCCTACACGGTAGAGCGTAGTTTACTGATTGTTCTAATACAGCCCCGGCCTACATGGTAGAGTGTAGTTTACTGATTGTTCTATTACAGCGTCAGCCTGCACAGTAGAGTGTAGTTTACTATGTTTGTTTGTGCATATCTATCCCTTTGTAATGGACGTGTTGTTTAACGCAAAACCCGGCAATATTCCAGCTATATGATGGCGGTCTGTAAATAATCAAGTCTGGACCAGACAATCTAGTGATTCATATCATGTGCATTGATTCACGCAATTGGGATATAATGATATGCATCAGATAAGTCTGCGAACCTGACCACCCGATCTTGTCAGTCGCCTCTTACGTCAAGCATAGTCGCCTCTTACAAGCACGGGCTGCTGAAGACTTCACTAGGCCTACATGGGTCATGTAGTTTACCGATCGTTCTAATACAGCCAGCCAGCCAGCCAGCCAGCACAGCAGGGTTTAGTTTACTGA